AAAGTTTTCAAATAGGTGGCAGCCCTCCAATTTTTTGCGGTATCATTGGTTATGGTATTATATTGAACAGTACAAAAAACAAATTATTCAAATCGGTTCAGCCGTTCTCGAGTTTTAACGACCGTGACATACGAACACAACATTTTTATTAATATAGATTAAAGATAAAAACAACAAAGATCTGATCCGGTTAGTAACTGTTGTCTAAAAATCTGCAGATAGTGATATAAGTAGTGAACTTCTAGCAACATGTTCACTCCAATATTCAAAAACGCCTCCATCAATTCAAACGGCGTTTCTAATGTAATTTCAAATATGTAGGTACATGCATATGTATGTATGCTTATAGACAAAATGTCGAATGGCGAAGAGCCTTCCAGTTGCTTCGTGTCATAGTTGTTGTAGCTTTTGCTTGTTCTGAATAGTTCGTATGCAAAGAAATTGGAAAAATACGCTGAGAAAGCCTAACTTTGACCGGCTATAGCTTCTAAAAGTGAGCTAACTTTTCAAAACATTCTTAGGGCCGTTTTCTCAAGGCATGGTGGACACTAATCTCCGGTTAAACATCGTTATCGACGTTACCGACATCCGGTTATATGCATGTAGTCAAAGACGTCGATAACGATGCTAACCGGAGATTAGTGTCAACCAGGCTTTGAGCAAATGGCCCTTAGGGTTCTGTTACACTATTCCAGCACTATACATCTGTGTTGGTCTCATCACCGTTAGATTCCATGACCAGTGATCGGACTTCTACCACATTGTGGTGGATCTGCCACTTTTTCGAGCATCTACCACACAAGGTCTGAAATCTCCCACATATTCGCGTTTTTGAGTATAGTAAAACCCGCTTGAGTACCTCACGAAAAATGTCAGCTTTTTGAGTTACTTAGGCGGGTTGGGTACTTAAAGGGACCCGCTTAAGTACCTCGATGCGCGTACTTAAGCGAAGATAATTTGTGATGTAGTTTCATCTTCTTCTTAACTTACATAAATAAGTCCTTGAATAAAACATGAACTTTTAATGAAGTATACGTAATTTAAAACCAACATCGTAGGATTATTTAAACACGTAAACACATAAAGGAAAACTGTATTAAACAAAAAAACAGATAAAGCAATGTTATGTCATTTTCACAAGAATTAAATTAAAAAGTCATTGATTATACATACATACAAACAGGGCATATCATTTTAATTTTTATAATTTTTCAATTAAAAAAAATTCATTCTCTGACAAATACCAAGAAACTTAAAATATAGCTCAAAATTTTGCAGAACACTGAAAAAAATTCATCAAAATTTCAAACTGTAATTTTTTTTTATGAGTATACAGTTTTATAGCCCATTAAATTTTAGTGTAATAATGCTGAATTTCATAGTATGTAAATGTTTGAAGAAATTAAAAAAAAGAACACTTAAAAGGGGATAATTATAAGTAAAATACTAAATGCGGGGAGGTACTTAAAAGAGGGATTTTCTTCAGAATACATTAAAAAACTCACTGTGCCCAAAAATGTTGGGAACTTAAGCGGATTTCACTGTAGTTTTATTTTGCTCGACATAATTTTCTTAATTTTAAGAGCAAAAATTGTCCAACACTAAACACTAACAACAGGCAGAATGGGCGGATAAAATAAACTGTAAAATAGTAAATTTTCTCAATAATCAATTTTTCGACAGGAAACATGGTTTTATTGAGTTAAATTGCAAAATATATGATTTACAAAAAGAATCGTTAACGAAAATGTTAAAAAAACGGCGATTTTTGTGAAAGAGTTAGCAAATTTCAGTGCATCTAATCTAAAGCGTTGTTTACTTTTACTTGAGAATTGTCAAAATCGGCAAATCCCAAGTAGCGGTTTCTGGAACGTGCCACATTTGTACGCTACATCGTGATGCGATAAAAAGAAAAGCTGGCAGCACTGCGCAAGGTTTCAGAAATCTTTCAAAATATGTTCAAAAAATATCTTGATATGGAAGGAACTGCTTTACACTGTCAAGGAAAAAAATTGCCAAATTCAACGCAACTTTTAGCAACTTCAATCTTGCACTTTATTATACTAAAATAATTTTTTTTGTTTAGATTCTAATTTAAATGGTTGCAATTTAGGTGCAACCTTGCTGAATTTTTTTAATTTTTTTACAAAAGTTTGATCATAAACCTGAGATCTAACACATTTTTTTGAAATCTACCACATTTTTTTCCAGATTCTACCACACAAAGTTTTTTTCAAGTCCGATCACAGTCCATGACCCAAAAATTGTTGCAACCTGTAATATTTTATTATTAACTTGCGAAAGAAAAAAACTTTTGTTTTTACCTAAACTCAAAATTTCATATCTTACAAAAATACAGAAAACAACTCCGTGAAAATTTTAGGATATTTTAAGAACATGCAGAGGTACCACGCAAAAGAAATTTAGCCCAAAAAAATATTAGTTTTTGACTTATTCAATTTTAAAAAGTTAGCAATTTTGCAATTTTCTAATTTTTTTCAATATATTTCTTTAATACATATTTTTTTGTAGCCCCTAGTATCCTCTTTAAAACGATTCCAAGATGTTTTTTGTAGCTGTAATATTTTTTGAGATATATTCAACAACTTTTATGTAGAAAAGCAACAATAATTTGAAAAAATGGTAGAAGTGATAGCTATTTCGGAAATCACCACTGACTCAGCCAGTTGCCTACGCACTGTGCTAAGTTTGTCTTGTTAATTCTTGTTGCTTATTTTCCACTATTTCACTTTGCTAAGCCAACTACAATCAAGCGCAGCTATTCCGCTGCAATTCACTTGATCATGTGGTTGTTGGTTTTGTTGGTTTTTGTTAATATTTCTATTATTAGAATGTTTAACTTTTAGGTGTGCTCGTCCTTAAGTTATTTGTTTTTGTTATTTTTTTGTTTTATGGCCTTATAACAATTATATTCAACAATTTTTATGAGCTCGAGGCCGTATTAAGGGCAAATTTATTGTGGATACGCAACAATAAATTGAAAAAATGGTAGAAGTGATAGCTAAAAAAAATTTTTTTTTGAGATATTCAAAAGATTTACTAAAAAAATTTAAAAAAATAGTGAAACTTTTGAATTTCGCACAACTTCTGCAAACATTTCTTTTTAACTTTTTTTTGTTGGTGAACTTCATAATAGGTTGAAAGAAAACTTCTGACCAAATTTCATCCATATCGAAAGGGGTCGCGTCCAATTGTCGAGTCGATTTGACAATTCCGTGTGTAAATATTTCTCGCATCACTTTAAAACTCGGAACGGTGAAAATAAAAATGATCCCGACAATACGAATAACCTCTTTTACATATACTCCTCATGTAAGTTCATGAGTGAGCCAAATATGTGAGGAGTTTATACTGGAGTGCTTTTAAAATTATAATCCTCGGAGCGAGAGTGTACTTTGATGGCTTTACGAACTCTGTTTTAAGAAGGTCAGCGATTGTTGCTTGTAAAAACTTGCAAGACAGTAATCATTATCTTTTGATATATAGAACATAAGAAAATATTTCATTTTTCTGTTTATTTTTACTGCTCCGAACTTAGGGTTAAAACTCAGCCGCGACACAAATCTCCGTCGTTATCTTCACATTTTTCAACGAGATTTGGGAATATGGTAGAAATGGAAACCAGTAAAATTTGGAAAATGGTTAACGAGAAAAAAAGTTAGGGAACCTCTTGTTTCATCGTGCACTGAAACACTAGTCCTTACTCACGTCTAAATCGGAATGCAGTGCCAAATACAAAATAAGACGATATTTTTAATAAATATGTAAGTATATGAGCAAATCTCACACGTTGTTACAATTTTCGACAAAAACGTCTTCAGTTTTGTATAAAGAACAAGATTCCATCGCGAAATTGTATTTAGATGAAAACTTAACAATATATATTAACAAAGGTAAAAATAAAAACTCATGCTCATTCATATGTATACCCGTAGTTGCTTATGTAACGTATACGCCCTGTAGCACCATACGCAGTCATCTCGTACGCCTTAACTTAAAAGCCATACTATTTAAAGGTAATTAAATATTGGCGTTTAAGGTTTTTACAGAGTAGTGCAAAACGTACACGTAAAAAAAAAATCCTGCAATGCGACCGGACCCCGACTGAAATTTACATATTTTGTGTAGTAATGATCCTACACGAATCTCCCCTCTCTACGATAATTCTAATGGGTCGCGCATAGAGCATTTATTTTTCCCATAGGAGTAACATGTAAGAAAACGAGTTATTCTCTTTTGCGGTCAATATAATTTTCCAGAAACATTTAAAACGCTAGAAAGTATTATGCAGGCTCAGATTATTTAAGTTCCTTAATTATCCTTTCTTAATTTCTTGCCCTCTCAAATCTACTATTAAAAAAAAAAAATTGGCACTATAAAAGTTGTCGATATCGACGTCGATGTAATTTTTTCATAAAAAAATAGCCCTCGTAAGTCCAACTCCAGCTATGCTGACCACAGAATTTTTGCGAGGAACGCCTTTCTCAAAAAGACTGCGGTTAGCGTAGCTCGAGTTGGACTTACGGCGGCTAATTCTTCACGAAAAAATGACATTGACGTTGACGTCGACAACCATAATATGGCCGATTATTTTGGAATTTAAAGAATCTGAGCTTAAATGATACTTAAATGGCATGTATTAAATGTACTTTTATAGTTTCTAGCGTTTTAATTGATCCTAGAAAATTAAATTGCATGCAACCAAGTAACGTATGTAAAAAAACAATATTGGGAACAAATACAAAAAATAGCGCTCTAAATCAAGCCGTTGTTCATTTTGACTTTTTATGATTTAATTATTTTTGTGCGGAAAAAATTTCGCATAATATTCTTAAAAATGGAGAAAATAGTTAGTAGTAAATTTTTGATAACCGCAGATTTATGCGGAATAAAATACTACAAATTGAAGTGAAATTAATATTTTAAGAAAACATCTACTTTATTTAACAATAAATTACACACATCAACAATCTTTGCGATTGTCAAAATTTTCTATGCATTTGTCAAATTTTTCACTAGCCTCAAGAGCTACTGAAATTTTATTCACCTCATACTGGTCAAAAATTTACACGCTGCGAACTTTGTTACCTATTCACTATTAAAAATATATTTTTTTTTTTGTTTCGGGAAATTTTTTGTATGCCTAGAAAGTTGCTGGACAAATATCACTTTGAAAATATTTTGGTTGCTTATTTTTTGAAATTCTTGTTGTCATATTTTCTGAAGTATAAATCATCCTCAAAATATTTTGCTTCACTTGAAAAATAAATGTCAGCCATTACATATACACCATATACACTGAAACTATTTAGGTAAGTAGACTACCTACATTTGCACGAAGCTGAATTTCGAAAGAAAATTAGTTAGGGCCTTTCTATTTAGGTACAAAAAATAAAGTTGAGTTCTTATTTGAAAACTTCAAATTTTATTTCTCATGGAAATATACATACATATCGAGCCCTAACCGCCAAAATAGCGTAAGCGACATTTTTTTCAAAATTTTCTTTTTGATGCTGAAATGTATCTAGATGCTCTAGGAATAATTCTGCATTAAAAAGAAAATTTAGAAAAAAATGTCGCTTACGTTATTTTGGCGGTTAGGGCTCGATATCGTTACCCGAGTTCGCAAAGGCTCTTACAAACACTTTTTTTATTTTACAGGAGAAGAAACAAACATTATAAAAAGAGTATCAAAAAATGTAAGGGCTTTTAAAAAATTGGCATGTACCTCCGTTGTTTTTGGTAGTAACACTTTAAAATTTGTATTGAAGGTGTATTTTAATAACAACATCCTATCAAAATCTGTGAAAACGCAGTTCCGAAAAAAGTGATGGTTAGGGCGTTTGTGAATTAAGGTGAGAATAAGTATGTTCTAAAAAGAAAAATACTAAGGCAATCCCATAACCCGAATGCTTCGATAAACTGAATCAAATCTGCAGTCATTAGTTTGGATTATCGGATTTGGACTGTGTTTATAAAGCTTTTTCACCTACAGGACAGTTTACAGATGTTATTTATCCATAATTTGATTTAGTTTTTGTAGGCAGCATCTAAGCAACATCAAGCGCAAACAGTTTGACGTCGGGAAGTGGCAGTAGCGATTGCTCCTATTCGTGACGCAATTTTTGCTCCATTCATACAACGTCAGCGGCAACAAATCCGTGCGGTTATTATGTTCGCTAGTGATGAACATTTGCTGTCGATCGTCGCCGCCGCGGCACATCCGTCACATGAATTTCAATATCTTCGGATATGAATTGGTGCAAAATGTACGATGTATTATTAGAAGTATCTCACTTTTCGCTTAAGGTATTTATACATATCTAAAAATGAATTTAATAAACGCTCGATCAGTAGCTTTATATTGCTTTGGTTTTAAATTGAATATATGAATGTCAGAACTTAGTTCGATAGAAAGACCGCAAACAGACACAAAAAGGACGACAGCAACGGCGACGGCGACGACCTAGGCTGGCTGTAGTTAAGCTGCTATTAAGCGTTCGAAGTAAAATCTGTTCAGAAAGTATTGACGAAATCACAACACTATTGTTGGCATGAGATGCATACGAGCGACGTATTGAGTTTAATTTTATTTAGTAATTAATTGCTTACACATACATACTTATTGTAATTGTTCATAATTTTCTCTCGAAAAGTGTGAAAACTTGATTGAAAAAATACATAATACACCATACAATTTTTGTTTAAGTTTCACACGTCTATTTCCACTATGTACATATGCATGTATGTATATCTTTTCATTGCCTTATTACTGTTATATTTTTTTTATTATTTATTTATATTATAAATGGCATCGACACATATCATACATCGCCCCGCTTTATCACCTTATCAGAGAAAAATAATTCAGGTTTTTGCACGTATGTATCTATAAACCTGTCACACACCCGCTGCACAAACATCACCTCACACATACATACATATACATTGTATATGTATATGTATCTATTCCGTTTTGATATAATTAATATTAAATATAATTTTTATATGTATGCGTGGTTGATACGCATAAAAGTACACAGAAACACATCACACAGCACCCGGAAATACAGGAACACACGAGCAAGCGGGCGGCAGCAGCATTAGAATCCGACAGCAAAAACTTGTATTGTTGCATGTACGCGCCAAGCGTATTTTATATATGTACATATATTATATATACATACATGCATACTTATATATGTATATGTTTTATATATTATATATATATATATATATATATATATATATATATATATATATATAAACGCACTTTGCAATTATTTCTCTTTGGCCGTTGAGACTCAGTTAGTGGCAGTGCGACTGCTGCTGGTGCTGCCGCTTTTTTCTCACGCGATCTGCACGTTTTTTTTTTTTAATTTTTGTCTTTTTTATATTCAATTATATTTTTACGTATAGTATTTGTATATGTATATTTGTGAGAATTTCAGGATTACAAAATAATGCCGATGCGGATTTTGTAACTTTCTTGTTGTTCGGCGACCATTTGGCGTTTGGCATTTGCTTTTCGTTTCGTGGCGCGGCGTTGCGTGTCAAGAGAGAACGGACGTTGCGTTTGTGTGTTTTACCGAGAATATAAAAAAGCAATGTTGTACTCAAAAGACGTCCTGAAGCCGTATGCCAACTGATTCCAGGACGATGGATGCGTTCGGCGCCATCGTCGTCATTGCGGCAGTCAGAAACGTTGCAGCCGCCGCCACCATCCACATCCGCATCTACATCGCCATCGCCATCACTAACGGCGTTTTCGTTGTTGTAATCATTCCGTCTAGGCCAAACTTTTTTGTTGGTTTTGTCGCGGAATATTTATTTTTTGCTGGACATTACGCGCGCGAGAGTGCTTTGGACCTACCTCAGCCCACTCAAACTGCTGTTCCGGCTGCAATATGCACCACATACATTTTACTTGAGTTGAGTGGCAGCCACTCAATATGCCTCGCCGCTTTCATCTTCCAGCCTTTCCCTCTTCCTCATGCAATAAATATATACATATATTCGAATCTATACAAGGAGCGTTAGGTACCCACTCACATACACGTACACGACGTTGGAACTTGCATTCTCACGGACACCCTTCGAAACATATCACAAAGGCTCTACGCGTAAGCAGAGTTTGTGCAGGTACATTCATACATGCCTACTGATGCACATTTGTATGTATGTATGTATGTATGACATGCATGCGCCAAGTTTGTGCTCTATGTAGTTTCCATTTGAACTACGTAAATTCTAAGTATCACTCCTCGTATCCACCGGCGTTGCACGCTCTGCCAGTTTTCATGCCTATGTATGTACATATGGATGTATTTGCTACATCCGAGTTTTGGAGGCTACTGGTTTGTTTAAATAAATCGAAAAGTATCCGTGTATGCTGAAGTAAGTAAGAATATAACGAAGGTGTCTGCTTAAGATCTAACCACCTCGCGCAGCAATGCAATGAGGCAGATGTGTATGCATGTAAGTATGAATACTTTTGGATCGTCTCTTATCATCTCAGTTTTTTAAGGCTTGAGGCCATAGTAACAAATNTAACGAAGGTGTCTGCTTAAGATCTAACCACCTCGCGCAGCAATGCAATGGGCAGATGTGTATGCATGTAAGTATGAATACTTTTGGATCGTCTCTTATCATCTCAGTTTTTTAAGGCTTGAGGCCATAGTAACAAACGTGGAGTTTCTTAAGTTAAACTGGATACGTATTTACATACATATGTATATGTGTGTAGTGGGTGAATGTACATACACATGTTTGTATTTATGTACAAACGTACGATACATGGATATGGATGATATATATATGCACATATCTATTCCATCTGCATATTTGCCAATATGAACTACCGGTATATCAACTTGAACACCTAACACCCTTTACTCTTCTAATGCCATAAAATGATTTTGAGTCCAACTCCCTCTAGCGTACAATAGTTGCAACTGCATACTGTGCTAAATATGTATGCTTTTATCTACGCACATACATATGTACATACATATACATACATGCATGGATATGAAAGCAATTGCATCTGCTGCAACAGACGCTGCATCTGCTGTTGCACTCATTGCTACCCCAAATTTGAATACTGCTCACAAATTCTAAGTCTCATGACGAAAAGAGACGAAATATACAGCAAGTAAATCCTCACGCATGAAGTTTTACGGACGCATAAGCGCATGGATGCAGAAACACGCACTGCACTAGCAAATACAAAGGCCCTATTACCACTACACTAAGACACCAATACCTCTGCATCCTTGCAGTGTGAATGTTGTGTGTGTCATATAGGATATGTATGTACTTTTTGTTGCACACTTTTATGCGCAAAATGCATTTTGTGGCACCAAATGCACCTTCTACATATATATCTTACATATACATTCTTCCCTTACGGATGCTAGCTATGTGATAACTTTTTGTTGTACGATTCCTTTCAAACATTCTCCCGCCGCTCCAATCACTCTCCTTGTTGCCTTTTCGTGTTTGTGTGAATCTAAGTTAAAATACATACATGTGTGTATTCATACATACATACATATGTAGTAATGGGACAGCGTGCACCCAAAATATGCCTTTGTAGTCCCCATATTTCTTTACTTTGTTATATGCCGTTTCGCCAAACTTCCCCAACATCACTGTTGTGGAGAAATCTTACTAGAACCTCTGCGCATGCTCAATCCCTCATCACAGTCAGTTGTCATTTATGTACATATGTATGTACAATACACTACTTGTGTGCATAGAAAAACGAAATAAAATACATTAACAACAACCGAGAAGTACATTCATAGGAGCAAAACATTTGGCTAGTGTTTGTGAACGAGCAAAAGGATTATGCACATTTATATACATACATATGTCTACATATATATATTTATGTAGGAACACACGCCACATGCCATATGTAGGTATATACATAAAATGTACATATCTGTACATACATACATATATACATATCTGCCCATTGCTTTGGACGCTTTGGTTTCCCGCCATTGATGTGCGAATGGACCTCGCTTTATTAAGTCGTTGCTGCTCACAGTTGACGTACATAAAATTCCTTTTTTGGGCCT